GCGTTTGACATCGATTATCAGCAGACCCTTGGATCTCCATTCATTTCTTTCATCGAACTCTCAATGCTCAATGAGCACTACGGATGCAAAGGTTTGATGGTCATCATTAGAATATCTCTCTGAAGATATACTGTACTCACTTTGAAAAATACTGATCCTTGCCAAAAGCCAGCTAAACTGTGTGCGCAGCTGTAGAGAAGAGCCATTTTTGCCACTCGAAAGTAAGCCGAATTCCTAGAACCAGGCATGCACCTAATTATAGCTTCTGTAGCCGTCGTGGCTAATGTCGTGGAATCCCTAGCTTGTGATCATTTCACTATTTGTTACCCTCACAATCCACTTCAGTACCAACTTTCAGTGCTCCGGTGGTGGGAGACTCTAATACATGGGAGCTGAATGCGGGTTTCATCAACAAATATATGTATAGTAATTGGTGCCGCCCGCTCACTTTCCCTCTGCTTCATCAATACGAACCGATAAGGATCAACAGAAGAAAGCGTTGCTGCTAACATGAACACTTTCACTTTTTTCATCACACTTTTTGATACAAAATTCAGCGATCTGTAACAAATCTACATCGGTTAAATGCGAGATGGGCGGATTCCCTCATCCACGAGACTGCCAAAGATGCATATGTCCTGGTGGCTATGGTGGACCTCGATGCAATAAGAAAGTGAGCAACGTATCAGATATAACCGTCATCTAGAAGTTGGTGCCGAAAGTGTTTGCTTTAGCCAGTAACAAAGTGCAGCCATAAAATTTATGCTTCCCCTAACTGGACGAGACTCGAGGATACTATTGGCCTTGGCCGTGGTGAGCAGGAAGATTTCGAGATATGTCACTACCGGATTAAGGTAAGTCTTAAATCCCAAGAAATAACAGGCCAATATCATAACTGGTGCTAACGGCTGACTGGCTCACCATGTTAAACGTGTCAGTGCTGAAAGGATACGGCATGAAAGCCGTTAAGCAGAGAGGGTAAATGCGGCCTCGATGGCGTAAGAGTTAGCACACTGGCTCGGAAAGCGTGAATGCTGGTTCGACTTTTGCCAATAGTCAGCATTCTTGCAGTAGCAGGTCAATATTTTATCGACATATTCACGTAAATTTTACAATGGGAACTCAGTGGGGGAAGCAGCCCTTAATGACGTCTCTTGAAGTGTCGAGTAGTTACGGATCACTAATTATAATTGCCTTGTATTTGCAGTCTCCCAAGGGAACCGAAATCGAAGTAAAATTAGTGAACTTCACGAAAGGTCTATCTATTGACGGATGCCCTTATGCAGGTGTAGAGATCAAAACAAACAAGGACCAAACGCTCACTGGTTACAGGTATACTGTTTGAATAAATTAGAAGTGCGCAAAGGTATATTTGAAGGAGATCATTGCGATCGAAATGACAATTGACAGTTTCTCTCAGAATACTGGTCAAATTGACCGCAACAAAACCCATTCAAAAACCCTTAAAGAAGAAGTGAATTGAAGATTCTGCTCACCTGACGCGGCTGGAACAATTCTTCGTTCTTACATAAACCGTGTCCCAATAATGACGTATAACAGGATTGTCAAAACGACGACAGTGCTTGAATACCGACACGGTACTGCTTTATTATTTCTTGTCTTGAAATCGCTAAGATCAACCTAAAGCATCTAGTTCCTGCAAATTCACCAAGAGCTACGACTACTACCTCTACTACCACCACCACTACGACAACGACAAAACGACCTGTTGTTCCATTCATAAATACAGGAACTGGCTCTAAATGCGAGGACAACCACTCGTAAGATCCTCTTCATATTACCCCGTCAAGAACTATTCAGAGGTTTTTCAGCTGCATGTCTCTTGTACCAAGTGGTTTCTGCAAAGGTCCACTATCGGAGGCTACCAAGAAGAAAGTGTGTCCGAAGTCTTGTGGCTTCTGTGATACTTTGCAATAACTCCACTCCGCATCAACTGCAATAAAGTCTGTTGCATCGCACTTGTATATAACATCACAATGCAGTGTGTATATTCGCGGATCTCATAGCTCAAGGGGACGAGATTCAGAGATCTTTAAGGCTGTTGGCACGATGCCTTCCTACTTGGCCTAAAATGCTAGTAGAGCGCTATATAGTGGGGGAAATGACGAAAGAACGGAGTGAAACAGTCAAAGAGTGATTTGAGAATCTATTTCGGAAGAGTTTCCCGTAGGCATCTTGCCAATCACCGCTACCGAAAATACGGCTGCATATGTGTACCCATATATGCATGCAGCATCACACCACTCCCTTCGCTTCATGATTTGCTCAGCGAGTGAATGAAGCAAATACGAGCGTCAGGAACGGTCGTCCATTTGTGGGCGGGCGGGCGTGGCGGGCGTTTGGGTCGGAATGTTGTGGCTTGATAGGGCCCTTATAAAGGCACCTTCCTCGAGGATACCGCTATGCAGTGCCTGCCCAGGTTTGCGGAATTCTCCTACCAGGAGTATTGATCCTGTTCGTCTTGGGGGATTTATTGTGCCAACTGCTTTCAAGCGCGCACTGTTGAAGAGCTTGCTGCAACTAAAAACGCTCATACTTGCAGGACTATGTGGGACAAGGTCTACACCTACTTTTTAAGAAGTAGTTGCAGCATAAATGGCAGGTGACCTAGTTCTAGGTCGCACCTCCTATTTCTGCGTAGAATGAAGTCCACCGAAGTTCCTCCTTGTCACTAGGAGGGGTTTTCTTTTAAGTCACGCCTCGAAATGATGAGCTTTGCGCTCAGACCCTGAACAATAGATGAGCAGCAAACAGCGAAGAAAAAACTAGAAGCAAATCATTTGAAGTGGCTTATAGAAATCCATGCCAGACCGAGCTTGTGCGCGTATCAGATGAAGAAGGGGCGTTCTTGGATTAGTTCTCACTAGTCGTTATTGGCCGTTTCTTTTAACACTCACCAATCAAGCAGCAATGGAGAGAGCTAGTAAAAAAAAGCCGCACCATAGTCAGTATACAGAAGTAAAGTAGGGTGTTGCGCTAGGCAGTGGGCCGATGTCTTGAGTTGAGAGCGGGTATGCTTTCCTCACGCAATTCAAGCTGCAAATTTGTTTGTCTCTCAAGCTTGCGGACAACCACCATGTATAAGGCATGCGTTGAACATCAAACGAACACTAAGAGTGCCTAAAGTGCTCTGCACTCTCAACCGCTATAATGCTGCGCTCCATGTGCGAGGTAACAGTTATGCAAATGTATTTCTACTTCCCTCACCCT